CCTAGGAATAAATTTAACCAAAGAAGTAAAGGACCTATTTGCAGAAAACTACAGGTCATTGAAAAAAGAAATAGAGGGAGATATAAAAAAGTGGAAGTACATACCCTGTTCATGGATTGGAAGAATTAATATAATTAAAATGTCCTTACTACCCAAAGCAATCTATAGATTCAATGCAATCCCCATCAAAATACCAACGACATATTTCATAGAACTAGAACAAATACTTCAAAAGTTCATATGGAACCAAAAAAGACCCCGAATAGCCACAGCAATCTTGAAAAAGAAGGACAAAGTAGGTGGGATCACAATACCAGATATCAGGTTATACTACAAAGCGACTGTAACCAAAACAGCCTGGTACTGGCACAAGAACAAGCATATAGACCAGTGGAACAGAACTGAAAACCCAGAGATGGACCCAAGGCAATACGCTCAATTAATATTTGACAAAGGTGGCAAGAGCATACAGTGGAGTAAAGACAGCCTCTTTAATAAATGGTGTTGGGAAAATTGGACAGCTACATGCAAAAAAATGAAACTAGACCATCAACTTACACCATACACAAAAATAAACTCAAAATGGATAAAAGACTTAAATGTGACCCGTGAATCCATAAAAATTCTAGAAGAAAATGTAGGCAACAAAATTTCGGACATCATACGGAGCAGAATTTTCACTGATACATCACCTAAGGCAACAGAAATAAAGGAGAAAATGAACACATGGGACTACATCAAACTAAAAAGCTTCTGCACAGCAAAAGAAACAATCATCAAAATGGAAAGGCAACCCACTGTATGGGAGAACATCATTGCCAATGAAGTATCAGATAAGGGGTTAATTTCCAATATATATAGAGTGCTCATACAACTCCACAAAAGGAAAGCAAAGAACCCAATTAAAAAATGGGCAGAGGACCTGAATAGACACCTCTCCAAACAGGACATACAAATGGCCAAGAGACATATGAAGAAATGCTCAACATCACTAATCATCAGAGAGATGCAAATTAAAACCACAATAAGACATCCTTTCACACCTGTCAGAATGGCCGCCATCAACAAATCATCAAACAACAAGTGCTGGCGAGGGTGTGGAGAAAAGGGGACTCTAGTACACTGCTGGTGGGAATGCAGACTGGTACAGCCACTGTGGAAAACAGTATGGAGCTTCCTCAAAAAATTAAAAATGGAACTGCTTTTTGACCTAGTAATTCCACTTCTAGGAATATAACCTAAGAAGCATGAAACACCAATCAGAAAGAATATATGCACCCTTATGTTCACAGCAGCATTATTTACAATTGCTGGAAGCAGCCCAAGTGCCCATCAGTAGATGAGTGGATAAAAGAGCTGTGAGACGTATACATAATAGAATACTATGTGGCTATAAAAGAAAAAAAGGAACTCTTACCTTTTGCAACAGCATGGACAGACCTGGAGATTATTTATGCTAAGTGAAATAAGCCAGAGAAAGACAAGTATCATATGATCTCACTTATATGTGAAATCTAATGAATAAAGTAACTGATGAACAAAACAGAACCAGAGGCATGGATACATGGAACAAACTGAGAGAGGTTAGAGGGGATGGGTATGAGGGGGGACTGAATGAAAGAAGGTGAAGACGTTAGCCAAAGAACATACAGTCGGTCCTTGTTTATCGTGGTTAATGGGTTCCAGACTCTACCGCAATAAATGAATTTCCACGAAGTAGGATTCTTTATTTACACAGTCATTCCTTGCCACTTCGCACTTCGACTGCGGCTTCACTCGCGAGGAACAACAATATATGCATAGCCCATGGACACAGAGAGTAGTGTGGTGATGGACAGAGGAAGTTGAGGTGGGGGCTGGGTGGTGGTGGGTAAAGGGGAGGAAAATGGGGGACATCTTTAATAGTGTGAACAATAAAAAAAAAAGTCAAATAGTTATCATTAACTGTTTCAAAACACAGAGTCACAGAGTCCCATTGTCTCCCTCTTCCCATCCTTTCCTTGTGTGTCAATGCCATCTTCAAAATTCCCTTCCTCTTATCTTCCTGGGGTTTCAGGAGAAAATAATGTGTGTATTCAGAAACTATCATTACTTGAAGGCCATTTTCTTATGATTTAGAAGAGATAAGGAAGATAAATTAGACAGCACATAAATTAGACAGAACAAAACATTTAAAATCATTCCTCCAACCACACTCAAATTTGGGGTTACTAACAAAATCCCAATATTGCATCACCTGAGCATTGGAGGGACTCACTGTCACTTCACTTTTGAGTGCTGGGAGCAGACTTTCAATCCTATATTTCTCTCCATCTTTGCCTTTTTTTTTTTTTTTTCTTTTCCTCGCACCTGTCTTGTCTACTCCCAAGACAGGCCAGCGCCAAAGAGAGAGGAAGGAGAGCACTCACAGACTGACTCTGAGCCTGAAGACTATTTCACAGGTTGGGGTGGGCAGGGAGAAGAGTCACATCCTTTGCTATTCTTTTGCCTTCCAGAGCCGCAGCTGAAGTCCAACAACAAAGCTCTAGGGTTGATTAAGAAAATAAGGGCCCTTAAATGTGAAATACAGGTGGCTCATTCAGTACTGCTAAGTAAACAAAATGCGAAATAGTGAAACGCTTTCCTTATGAAAACAAGCTTTTTCTTCATCCAGAAATTTCCTTGGTTATCATTTTATAAACATAAATAAGCTTGAACTTCGGTCCTGTCTGAAGTTTGACCTAACTGTACTTTCAGAACTATGAGCTGGCTGATTACTGACTTGAAATTTGAACCTATCAGAAGAGAAGCAAAACATCAGACAGGAAACCCAAAACCTCAAGCAAGTTTCTTTCAAGCAGTAGGGAATGAAACCATTATTTCAAATATTTACCTTAATTAAAATTAAGCCTTGGGTGAGAGTTTAGTCACTCAAATAAGTTGCTGGTCCCTCTGACAGTGAGTGGTTTTTGCATAAGACTAGGTGGATGCATTGAATTAACAAGTGAAAACTTTTACACTCGGGGTAAATCATTTAGCCTATAGAATAAGCATGACTACTACTAGTCACAATGAAAAATGTTTCTCTCAATATCAAGCCTTCCCCAAAAGATGAGTGCAAAGTGCATTCATTAAAACATTAGGACAATGAAGAGAACAGAATATGTCTCTTTTCCTGCTGAATTCAAAAATTCTGAATTTTATCTTTAAACTAATACAATCAGTAATACTCATTACATGGCCTAATTTTAACTATCATTGATTTGGTAGGAAACCACAAGCAAGCCACATCTTTCCACCTGTATATTTGAACACAGGCATTTTGTCTCGACTTTGAATTTTCTTTAGGCCACTTGAATATAATGTCATTGATCCATTAGGAAAGTGCTACTGGGCTGGGATCCAGCACTGCACTTAGGACAAAAACTGCTGACCCGGTAGCCCAGGCACCTGCTGCTCCACTGCCCAGGTGGGTGGTCCTTCCCACTACTACTGTTCTGATTTTGTCTCAAGAGGTGCCACAGGTGATAAGATTGATGAAGACACTCTTTAGTGCTCCCACTCCCTTTTTTCCCCCCACTGAAGCAATTGCTTTTAAATCTTGATTTCTGACAAAGTAATTTTTCTTAGGACTCCAACTACCACATTATCACAGAACAGACTACACTACATTTGTCTCTTTAGATGAGCCAAAATTACTCTGTATGTAGAAAACTTGCCCTCCAAACTCCCTGAAGTTATTCAAATAGAACTATGTTGACTAAGTTACAGATAAATTGGATTGAGATTCATAGTTTTAGAATACCGATAAATGCTCATAAGAAACAGAATAAAACATGTAAACATTAACTAGAGAGAGTATTACACTTTGGGACAGAGAAAAACAGTACAATTATACTGAGGTCAGGAATAAGACAAGGAAAGCACTCTGGCCCGGCCAGTGTGGCTCAGTGGTTGAGCGTCAACCCATGCACCAAGAAATCGCTGGTTCAATTCCCAGTCAGGCACATACCCAGGTTGTGGGCCAAGTCCCCAGAGGGGGGTGTGCAGGAGGCAGCAAATGGACGTTTTCTCTCATTGGTGTTTCTATCTCTTTCTCCCTCTCCCTTCCTCTCTCTCTAAAATCAATAAAGAAAAAAAATTAAAAAAAAAAAAAAAACAGCACTCTGGCCCTGGCCAGTTTGGCTCAGCAGTTAGAGTGTCGGCCCATGGACCAGAGAGTCCCAGGTTCAATTCCAGCCAAGGGCACGTACATCAGTTGTGGTTCATCCCTGGCCCAGGTTGGGGTCGTGCAGGTGGCAGGCAACCAATCAATGTCTCACTCGCACATGGATGTTTCTCTCTCGTTCGCTCTCTCCCTCCCGCTCTATCTGAAGATAAATGGAAAAATATCCTCAAGGGAGGATTAAAAATAATAATAAATAATAAAAAACAAAAAAACAGCACTCTGAAAAGTATAAAGAGCTAGAGAAATGCAAGATATTACGACATGCAAATTTTTATTCCCCACAGTTGGGTGTTCATGGAAGGCATGTAAAAAGTGTCAAATATAAAAAGAAGGCAATACTGGCCCTGGCTGGTTTGGCTCAGCAGTTAAGAGTGTCAGCTCGCGGACCAGAGAGTCCCGGGTTTGGTTCCCGCTAGGGGCACGTGCCTCGGTTGCAGTTTGTCCCCGGCCCTGGTTGGGTCATGCAGGTGGCAACCACTCGATGTGTCCCTTTTACGTTGATGTTTCTCTCTCTCTCTCTCTCTCCCTCCCACTTTATCTGAATAAAAAATGGAAGAAAAAAAAAAAGAAGGCAGTACTGGACACAAAAACCATAAAAGGAAAAAACAACTGTCGTATAAAGGGTAACTGAGTTACATAGGCTGAAAGGTGAGTCCCCTGCAGTCCTAGATATAGGCCAAGTACCACCAAGAGCTGGCTCTGTGACCCCCACCCCTACATCCCCCTTGGAGAAGTTAAGAGGTTTTAAGGCAATGTCTCAATATTGAATGAACAGTTAAAAAGGGGCAAATACCTTTTGATTAATGATCCCCAGAGCATGCTGTGATGTGGGCCATTTCTTCATCTTCTCTAGATCAAACAATCTCAAGAACGAGGAAATTTGTGAAATATCTACCTTTTGGAGGTGATGTAGGAAGCCAAGCCAAATAAATAGAAAGGCCTGAAATAAGAATAAGATATTAAGAGATATTATAATTTAGGCACAGCTATAATATATTGAAATGATTGGTACAGGATTATTCTATTAATCCAGCTTCAGCTCATTAATTCCGCAATGATGCTAGCCCCCTTCCTGCCATTTTTAATCTATCAAATATATTTAACATGAACATGTACATGTTTCATTTTCGTATTACCATCTTGCCAACTGCTATTAATTCTGGAAAGTCAGCAATTAGAAATTAAATTGATGCTACATGAATATAAAACTGACTTTTAATTTCCAAATCCGATTGAAATTTGGAAATTCTTAATTCTCTTTCCTACTGTTTCCCCACCATCCTTCTTGGCTGGCTGACAAGTCAAAAGAGGCTCTTGCCATTCCCTCCAGCACTGAGAATATGAAGTTCAACGAGCTGTGCATTCAGGGGCCATAAAGGCAGATACAAGGCCTACATACAGAGAACCAACACACATAAGCACACGACATTCCCACACTGGCAGAGGACAGAGCCTACTTCATTAAGCATCTTCCAGTGGCACTGAAGAACCGGAAGCTCTATAGGAGCTGGGAAGCAACCACACACAAGGGTTCCCACTCACTATTTTCTTTTGCATGTCTTCTAATCGGTGTCAGGTAGACTGTTACTTACAGGTTTTATTCCTCTGTGCTGGCTCTCAAAGCATTGTCTCTTGGCTCCAGAGCCACTCTTCTCAACTCAACTCTGCTGTGGGACACAGACTCTTCAGATTGCCAGCTGATACTGCTCTAAGAAGAATTAACAGTTTTTCCTGGCCAGTGTGGCTCAGTGGTTGAGCGTGGACCCATGCACCAAGAGGTCGCCAGTTCGATTCCTGGTCAGGGCACATGCCTAGGTTGTGGGCCTGATCCCCAGTGGGGGGCATGCAAGAAGCAGCCAATTGATGTTCTCTCTCATCGATGATTCTCTCTCTCTCTCCCTCTCCCTTCCTCTCTCTCTAAAATCAATAAAGAAAAAAAAATTTTTTTAAAAGAGTTAACGGTTCTCACACACACACACACACACACACACACACAGACATGCACATTCAGAGATACACATCACAATACACACCACACATACATACACTCAAAGACATACCGCATACCTGCCACACATACCCCCACATGCATGTACACTCAGGGACACACTATACACATACACATGCATGCACACGCAGAGACTCACATGCATGTATACTTGGAGACATACCCCCCCATACACACACACACACACACACACACACACAGGCACTAGATACACTTAAATTGTCACTCCATAAAATGAGGGGAAAAAAACAAGACAACTTTTTTTTAACTTGGAATTTTAATTATGTACATAAATAGCAACATGAGAACGAGAAGTTCTAAGGCTTGTACATTATCCTTAGGTGAAAAGATTTCAGATTAGTCCCTTTGTAGTATGGCATCACCCAAGGTAATAAAGAGGCCTAGACTAGTTTTTCCTGAAGAAGAAAGACAGTTTACTATATTCAATACTGACTCCTCTTCCATTTTTCTGTAGAAATACTGGTTTATTGTATGGAGTTTCCAATGTTTACCTATAACTAAAAGAAAAAAACAAAACATAAGTAAACTGTGCCAGAAAAAATAAAAACAACTCTACAATTTTGCATTTTGAAAATTCTTTAGGTTTACATAGAGAAAACATAACAAATATTTACATTACCATTATATAACCATAAGGATTATAAAAGGCAAGAGAAAAGTGTAATTATTCCCATTTTATAGACAGGTAAACTAAATACCAGAAAGGTTTTGTGTTTCATCAATACTACATTCAGATTCTCAACTGGCTGTGTATCTGAGCTAATTAAACAGATAGGTGGATTTATAAATAAAAAAATAAATGCCTAGACCTGGCCAGTATGGCTCAGTTGGCTGAGCGTCATCCTGTGCACCAAAAGGTTGTGGGTTCAATTCTCAGTCAGGGCACATACCCAGGTCGTGGGTCTGATCCCTGGTCAGGGTGCTTGTGGGAGGCAACAAGAGGTCGACGTTTCTCTTTCTCTTTCCCCACCCCCTTCCTCTCTGTCTAATAATTCAATGAAAACATAACATAAATATTAAATAAACGCCTAAATGGCATAGCAACACCACATCTCATCCTTTCTGAAAACTAAACAACTATATTTCCATCCATCTGCTGGAGGAGAACATGACTGTATCACTGTCAGTCTGACATATACCTTCCCTCACATCACCCTATCATTCTTTTGTGGAATGAGGTCCATAGCAATCCAAAGACACACCAAAGATAAACCAGCTCTTCTCCATATTGCTTTTTTCCTAATATGTAAAGACTTACTACTTAGCAATTAGAGGTTTGTAAATATTTCACAGGCCAGTTACTACTCCTTTGATCTTTTCAAATAAAACCAAAAATTCTTAAACATGTAAACCACTAGCTTACCTCTTCTATCTCAGTTTATTAATCTGTTTTGAACTTCTCTAAGAATTCAATAGATTTACTGCACTGCTAAAAACTACAAACTGGAAACAACCTATATTAATAAGAATTCAAAAGATCATAGTAGTCCATACCAGGAAATTATTATAAAGCTGAATAAGGTAGATTTATAAGTACCAACAGGAAAATATGTATACAATATAGTAAGGGAAAAAAGGCAAATTCATTCATTCAATATAGTTAAACATAGCACTATGAAGTATTCGTACCAAAAAATTGAACCTATATCTGAGTAAGCCTTCAGATCCATAAGTTTATGGGAAATGCAAAGAAGAGAAGAACCAAGAGAGGGAATTCCAAAAAACAAACAAGCCCAGGTTTTCAACAAATAAATGGCAAAGGAAAAATGAGGGACAAGAAACTATTACAGTTTAAAAGGGGCTTAAGAAACCTGTAAGTCAAATGCAATGGGCTAATCTTGTTTAGATCCTGATCCAAACAAACCAAGTGTAAAAAATTATTAATGAGACAATCAGGGAAGTCTGTATACTGTCTTGCCATTAGATGATATTAAGGAATTAGTGTTAATTTCTTTAGGTGTGATAATAAAATTGCAGTATGTGCCCTCATGGTCAGTGTTCTTGTAAAACAATACAAGGAATATGATCTCATTCTGTCAAAAACTCAAAAGCATGTATGGATGCATATTTATATATAGGGGGAAAATGTTGAATGATATACAAAAATATTTACAGAAATTACCTCTGGAAAAGGAATAGAAAGAAAGTTTTAAAAATATTTATCTAGCCCTGGCCAGTTTGGCTCAGTGGTTAGAGCGTCGGCCTGCGGTCCAGAGAGACCCGAGTTCGGTTCCCGCTAAGGGCATGTACCTCGGTTGCAGTTTGTCCCCGGCCCTGGTTGGGTTGTGCAGGTGGCAACCACTCGATGTGTCCCTTTCACATCGATGTTTCTCTCTCCCTCCCTCCCTCCCACTCTATCTGAACAAAATATGGAAAAATGTCCTCGGGTGAGGATTAAAAAAAATAAAAATAAAAAATATTTATCTAAAAAATGTTCTTTACAAAAATATACATCACTTGTACAATTAAAAATACATCTCCAATAAAGATCTAAAACAATAAAGAATTAAATTAAGATTGTGTATACCATAAATTGAACTCTAGCCCAGAATACTTTTGGAAAATGAAATGGATATGTACATAGTTTCCCTTTATTCCATGTCTCATTGTCCCTGTAGAGTGTAGACAAATATAACCAAATCCAATGTAAAGTCTCTGGAGGACAAGTGTGTCTTCCTTGCTGCTCACCCTCTAGTCTCTTTGTTGTTGTCTTGTTAATCCTCACCGGAAGATATTTTTTCCATTGATTTTTAGAGAGAGTGGAAGGGAGAAAGGGAGGGAGAGGGAGATACAGAGACAGAGAAAAAGAGAGGGAGACTGACTGATTGCCTCCTGCATGTGCCCCAGCCGGGGCCAGGGATGAAACCTGCAACCCAGGCACGTGCCCTTGACTGGGAATTGAACCTGCAACCCTTAGGTGTGTGGGCCGATGTTCAAACCACTGAACCATACCACCTGAGGTGCTAACTCTGGGGTGGGACCTAGGCCTCTGCCTTTCAACAAGCTCCCCAGATAATTTGTTTGTATAACAAAATTTGAGAATTGCTGACTTGGGGTTACTATATGGAGGGCTGTGATGTGAAAGAGGATCTGAATTTGTTTTCTGTGAGCCCTAACGCAGGATCAGGACCACTGTGTAGGAATTATAAGGAGATATATTTTTTGCTCAGTATAAGAAACAGTTTTCTGTCCCGCTGGTGTGGCTCAGTGGTTGAGCATTGACCCGTGCACCAAGAGGTCGCCGGTTCAATTCCTGGTCAGGACACATGCCCAGGTTGTGGGCCTGATCCCCACTGTGGGGCATGCAGGAGGCGGCCAATCGATGTTCTCTCTCATCGATGTCTCTCTCTTTCTCTCTCCCCCTCTACCTTCCTCTTTCTCTAAAATCAATAAAGGGAAAACAAATTAAAAAAAAAAAAAACAGCTTCCTAAAAATCAGAACTATGCAAAGATGGTTGCCCTGTGGGGTGAGTTTTCTATTGGTGGAGGTGAAAAGTGGGAACACACACTTGAGGCTGGGAGTTGGGCCAGATGACCCTTCTCAAATTCAAAGATTACATGATTCTCTGGGTATCCAAAAATATGGAGACAGCTTAAGAGAGAAAAACCTGCCCTGGCCAGTTTGGGTCAGCGGTTAGAACGTCAGCCCTCGGACCAAAGAGTCACGGGTTCAATGCCAGTCAAGGGCACGTACCTCGGTTGCGGTTCCCCAGGGTCCTGCAGGAGGCAACCAGTCGATGTGTCTCTCTCACATCTCTCTCTCTCTCTCTCACATCTCTCCCCGCCCCCCACTCTATCTGAAGATGAATGGAAAAATATCCTTGGATGAGGATCTAAAAGAAAAAGAGAAAAACCTCAAACTTGGGGCTTTCATGAATTTTAAATCACAGCCATAATTTACAATAAATGTAACACTGATATAAAAAACTTCATGAAAGAAAATTCATATTCATTGTGGAACATTAAAAAATACAGAGTTATATAAAAGAAAACATATTTTTAAAAATCGTCTATAATTCTAGTATAACAAGATATATACAGTAGTCCCCCTTATCCGCAGGGGTTCCTAGACACCAGTGGATACCTGAGACTGTGGATAGTACTAAACCCTATATATACTATGTTTTTGCCTAGACATGCATATCTAAATTTTAATTTATAAATTAGACACAGTAAAAGATAATCAACAATAACAAAATAGAACTATTAGAACAAAATACTATAATAAAAGTTATGTGATCATGGTCTCTTATTGTACTATAGGTACAGCATAAATATGCAGGATAGAAGGATGATTCACATCCCGGGCGGGACAGAGCAGGATAGCCCAAGATTTCATCACCATACTCAGAACAACTTGTAAATTGTTTATTTATGGAATTTTCCATTTAATATTTTTGACCACAAGTAACTGAAACCACAGAAATTGAAGTTGTGACTAAGGGAGAACTACTTAAATATTTTGTTGTATTTCCTGGTCTTTATCCTCTCTAAAAATGTATCATACTATCACCCTGGCCAGGTAGTTCAGTTGGTTAGAGTGTCGTCCTGATACATCAAGGTTGTGCGTTTTATCCCTGGTCAGGGCACATACAAGAAGCAATCAAGGAATGCAGAAATAAGTGCAATAGCAAACTGATGTTTCTTTCTCTCTCTCTCTCTCTCTCTCCTTCTTTCTTTTTCTCATCCCTCTCTCTCTTTGCCTCTCCCCCT